CTGGGTACGAGGCCGACTCCATGTTCTCCGCCACGCAGCAATACGCCTCTTGCATGAATCGGCAGACAGTGTCGAGCTGTGGGAAGTCGTCTGGCAGGTCGAGCTCCTAGCGGCAACAAGAGAAGAAGCTCACCGAGAGAGCCGAAGAATCCAGAAGAAGCCTGGCGGCACTATTCGCTTGCCTGGAGGGGACATGCAGGCGAGACCTAGACGTTTATATACGCCACCGTGGCGCGAGGAACTGAGTAAAGTGCCTTCAGGTCTCCTCGACTTCGCTGTGTCGAATCTTGTAAGTGCTCCGAGTTCCAGATGCTTCTGGGCGCTCTCGGGATCCCCGCGTGACTCTCCGAGCGGTTGAAGGCTCTGGGCACGTAGCTGAGTCCGCGCATGCCACATGTCCTAGAACGGTCCCATGGGAACGTTCTGGCCTCTGCCGCCTTGGAGGCTCTCGGGCCCCGCCCAAGAGGCTAAAAAAATCATGGAAAAGCCTCGGAAACTGTTGCACGACTTCCGCATGCCCTTCGGCCTTCAGAGCACCTAGGACGGACCAAGAGGCCCTCACGAGAGCCCGAACCAAGGGGGCACTCGAGGCCCACAGTAAGCCCCCAAGAGGAGCCGAAAGAGGCCCTCCAGAGAGAGAGGCCCCCAAGAGGCCAGACCTGGGCACTGCCGCTGAGTCGACTCGTGGCAGCGCCTGGATCCTCAGCAGCGGCTGACCCCTCCCCCGCTCCTCGCGTATGCCTCGGAAGGCCGTCGCGCGGACGTCGGCGTCCTTGGGCGACTTCTTCTCCGCCAGCAGCATGTTCCGATTGCGCGTGCGCCCGTCGGCGAACTTCTGCTCCACCTCCACGAGCACCGAGTTCCGCCAGCGGACCTGCAGGAAGACGGGCTCCACGACGCGCCGGAGCTGCCTGGTGTCCTCCGACCACTCGAGCACCGACTCGCCACCACGCAGCTCCTTGAGCAGCTGCGCCACGCTCTTCGCCTTCCTAAGGGGCAGCGATAGGGGGGATCGACTCGAGGGGAGCATCGACCTGGAATCGCCGATAGACCGGCGGTCAGTCCCCGATGACGCATCCGCGGGTTCCTGGGCGGGATGGGGCTGCCAGGCCCCTATCCTTAGAAAGCCCAGGGTTCGCAAGGGACTGGTTTCCTCCCAAAACAACAGGCACCCTCCCGAAACCCTCCGAAAACCCTCCTTGGAGGGTTCTGGGGAGCTCTTCGGAGGGTTTCGGGAGGGCATTGGAAGGCTTGTCGCTGTTTGGGGGGGAACCAGTCCCCAGCGAACCAAGGCTCCCTGTCCCTATTCCCCCCCTAACGTTGCCCCTGACGTCCCGACGCCGTACTTCTCGACGTCGATGCCGGCGCGCGCGAGGCGCTCCGCGAGGGCCTCCTCGTCCGGCAGCGCCTCGGCCGTCAGGGCCACGGCCGCGCCGCCCTGGCAGGCCGCGGCGGCGGCGCCATCGGCCGGCGGCGCCAGGAGCACGCTCGAGGACATCAGCGGCGGAGGGAACTTGACGACGTGGCACGCGAGGGCCTCCGCGATGTCGTACCTGGAGGAAGAGATCCTCCTCCTCCTCATCCTCCTCCTCATGGTCCTCCTCCTCCTCCTCCTCCTCCTCCTCCTCCTCCCCCTCGGCATAAACAGAACTATCGCGGGTCCTCGCGGAAATCTTGGATCGGCGCCGGACCCCGCTGGCGCCGACCCTGGCGCGCTCCGCGCGTCAGGGGGGAGGAGTCCAGCGCCGATCCAAGGAATCCGCGCGGAGCGCCGAAAGGTTATGTTTACAAATCGGTCTGAAGAAGTGGGGTAGAAACATGAAGTAGGAAGACGTTGGAAGTAGATTGGGCTTCCGCCCGCCCCCTGAAGAGGAGGGAAGAAGGAAACCGCTCGACTTTTGTCAGTAGGAAGGCAGTGAAAGTAGATTGGAACCTGGGAATCCCAAAAAAACTACTTTCAACGACCGATCGGTATACAGTTTGGTTTCTTCGAGCACCACTTCCAGAAGTGGGTGGTGGTGCCCACGGCGGTCGTCTCGGTGGTGGCGAAGTCGGTGCCGTCCGGCAGCCCGAGGCCAGCAAAGTGCTGCAGCCCCGCCTCCTGGATGTCCACCTGAGCCACGCAAAGAAACAGGTCTTGCGCACGATGATTCGGGGGGGCACAAAGGTGGGGTGGGGGCAAAGGCGGGGTTGAGGAAAAATCGCTTCGAGCGGCCCCTGGAAGAGGGAAACACGGTAAACGGAGCATCCAGCTGGGCCGTTCCCCAGCCCCACCTTGGGATAACCCTCCCTCTACCAACCCCCGAATTATATATTTACCTTACGCCGCGGCTTACCCGGGCTGCCAGCGCGGCACACCGCGTGGGGACGAGAGCGTTTACGCGCAGCCACACGCGGGAAGTTTACAGGCGAATGTCGGCGCAGAGGACCCCGTTTTCTTCTGTCGTTCACCTGGACGTGGTGGGTCCTGTACATGGACATCAGGCCGGGGTACGACGGCGAGTCGATCTGCTCAACCTCGAAGTGGTAGGTGTCCTGCCGGTAGTGCAGCACGCCCTCCTGCTGCAGAATATCCTGCGGGACGCCTAGCTCCTCGTTGATGCCGCGGACGATGGTGGCAAAAAGACCGCCGCCGTCACGAGGCTCTTTCTTCTCCGCCAATAACATCTTGCGCTTGGCTGTGCGCCCGTCTGGTCTCAGTTGCGCCTCCTGTAGAAGAACCAAAAAATGCATAAACCTTAACTTCTGAAGATCCGCACGGGACCCCTCCCCCTGGCGCCGGCGCCGCCGGGAATGTCCAGCGCCGATCCGGGAAACCCGCGAGGACCTCAGAAAGTCTATCTCTATGCCGTTTTCCCCCTTCAGTCCTGGACCAGCACCCGCGCCCCCCAGCGCAGGCGGATGAAGACCGGCTCCACGATCCGCAGCACCTGCGCCGCGCCATCCGCCTCCCTTGCCTCCAGGTGGCAGGCGCCCGCGCGCAGCTCGTGCAGCAGGTCAGCGCAGCACTTCGCGGCGCCGGTGCCCAGCCGCTCGGTGCTCACGCCGCGGCCCCGCAGGTACTCGCTGAGCTTCGCCTCGCGCCGCCGGCGGCGCGGCGGCGCCGGCGACGACAGCGGCAGCGGCAGCGGCGGCGGCGGCGCGGCGGCGCCGACGACGACGACGGAGGCGGCGGCGGCACTGGCGGCGACAGGGACGGCAGCGTCGCCGACGAGGCGGCGGCGGCGAAGACAGCGGCAGCCGCGGACGGCCGCGGCCGCCTCTTCGGCGGAGCCGCTCGGCGAACGACGAGGGGCACGAGGGGGAGGGCGGGGGGAGGAGGGCGGCTCCACCGCCGTGCCCCTTGGCACGCTGAGGCGTAATAGAACGCCAAGTGCTGCCTGGCAGGGTCTCTGCAGTCTTCGAAGGGCCCCGCTCCAAACTCTCGTCACTTCCAGTTGCGCGCATCGTCCACCCCCCCCCTCCCGAGACTTCCAGGGCAGCCTGACGCCTCCTTGCGGCTCTCCAGAGCGTGCAAGATGCTGAAGATGGTTTCCAAGACGACCCAGGCAGGCCATCAAGGCCGCCTAGATGGCCAGGATGGCCCCAGGACGGACCAAGACACCTCCAAGACGCAAGAGAGTTCCAAGAGGATCCCAGGAGGGAGACCCCAAAACAGGAGGGAAAAGAAGAAAAAGAGGAAGACGACAAGCACGAAGAGATACACCCTGGCACAAAGCGGAAGAGCGTGTCACATGTTACGACTTCCTGTGTTAACCTTGAACAGTAGCCACCAGGAGTTCTGGGCTGGCACGGCGGCGGGACTTGCCGCAGGCAACTGGATGACGAAGCGAAGGCGGGGGGGGGCGTGGATCGTCCAACCTCGAACGATCACGGCTTCCCCGCAGCGCAGATCGTTCGACATCGGCCGATCCTGGGCCAACCAGCGGCGCTCAACGTGGCATGCCCGCGCCGGGGTCGCCACCGCCGCATCGACGCGGCGCGACCCGACCATCGGGGTCCGACCGAAGATGAGGCGAGGGTGGGGTGGGGAGGTGGGCGACGGCACGGGGGCGGCCCGCGTCTCCACCGCCCCCACCCACCCCCACCGGTGCGCCGCGAGCAGCGGCCGTGAACGCAGCAGGCCACTGGGTCTGGATGCACGCACGCGGACGAGGAGTCCGAGCCACGAAGCAGGGCACGGCGAGGAAGACGGTGACGACGAGCACGGCGAGGAGAGGTGAGAGGAGGAGCGGCTCCTCTGCACGTGTCGGGGGAGAGTCCCAGTAGCGACAAAGCCTGAGACACTGAGATGGGAGGGTGAGATGGGAGGGTGAGATGGAGGAGGAGGAGGAGGAGGAGGAAGAGGAAGAGAGGACGGCTAAAACGAGTAAACATGTGAAGGAGAGACGAAAGAGACAACGAAGCCTCTGTACGTGTCGGGGGGCGTTCGCAGACACTGCGAGAGGCGCGTGGGGCACTTCAAGGCAACTCTAGGAGTCCTGAGACACTGAGCGAGCAGGAGGAAGACCTTCAAATCCCCTTCTTCTCGCTAGTCCGCTTGATCCCCACGCCTTTAACTTGCATCAGCGGTCACTGGCAGACAGAACAGCGGAAAAATAAGCACAGCGGACAAGTGGACAGCACAGCAGGTTGAACCATCTAAGAGACGTGGGATTCACGAGCGGGCAGGCCGACAGACTTACCGAAAGACTGACATGCAGAAATGCAGAAGTAGAAGCATAGACACCCCAAAAGCTACATAAACACCGACATCTCGTTGCATCGATGATACTGAAGCAGTTTGGCTCTTCGTGGAGAACTTACCGCACAAATCCTACCAATTCCGAAGAAAGTTGACGCCTCGTTCTGAAGCCAGTCGGGCAGCTCGCCTCTTTCTGCGGGTGGTCCAGCTGGCATGCTCGAATATGATAGCTGTTCGCGCCCTTTCGGGCACTTCAAACAGATTTCGACAAACAGATGTCGACGGGAAGTCCACGCGAGAAGAGAGGTGGACGCAATCCCCTTGAGCCATATTCACGCCACGGGGAAACCAAGGCCACCCGTGTCATGATCCGGCACCGGCGACAACAGTTAATGTTAATAGTAATATAGCATCGGACACCAGCGCTTCCCGACCTCTCACCCTGGCAATGCTTGACGGCCATTCTGAAACATGAAGTGCTTATTCAAAGATGCATCGGGATGCATGGTGGAGAGTGCCTCGTGCGCATGTCCCTGGTACACCAGGCGAATTGAAAATGTATTCGCGAGCGCCCTTGTGTTCGCACTCGATTGCATAAGTAGGACATGTGACGAACGAAGACTGTGCACAACAGAAAGGCTGGACCATTCTGCAGCAGCGGCGAACGCTGGAAAATTGAGGCGTACCTGAAGAGAACAAAAAACATGCATCCCGACCACGTTCGTTTCAACCATACACCACAAGAGACACTCGACCACGAAATCGCATGGACGAGGCAATCTACATGTGAGAGCAATGGTCACTCCAATTCGCATACCCCTTGGGGTTCTCGATAGCTGTCACTCTACAGACCCGTCCGCTGGGAGCCAGATGTGTCCCGCTTGTCGGCGTGGGGTAGGGGGCAGGGGACGATTAGTGCCTGGGGTGCCTGGCGTTCTAACTTTTTCCGCGAAGCTCGACGACTACAGCAAATGGCACCAGACGGCCTCCAACATCGCCACAGTTACTCAGTTGACAGCCTGCACGAAGGGCGAAGTCTCATTCTGATCCGCGAGGACACCACTCCGCCTGACCTGCAAGGAGCCCACGAAAGTTGCGACAATCTCCAACTTCACAGCACCCAGGGACGACGAGGTATCGTGTTGATCTGCCTGGGACACAACTACGCTGCATCTCCAAGAAGCCCACGAAACTGGCGCGGGCTTCGCAATTCACATCCCCCAAGGGCAGAGAGGTCTCATTCTAATCCGCGTGAGACACCACTCCGCTTGACCTCCTCTTAAGCCTGCGAAAATGGAGACAACATCGCAGTTCGCAGCCCCGAGGGAAGACGAGGTCAAATTTTGGTCTGGGCAGATGCGCACTCAGCTGAACCCCCAAGGAGACCACGAAAATGGCGACAGCTTCCCAGCCCGACGCACCGAGAGACGGCGAGGTCTGATTATGGTTTTGGTAGAACCGCGCAGTACCGTGCTAAGCTGGGCCTCCAGGAAAACCACGAAAGCAGCGACAGCTTCGCAGCTCGTCGACCCCTGGAAAGGCGAGGCCCTCCCAGTCTGGATGGCACCTCACAACGCTGGAACCCCATCGCGAACGAAAGCAACGGTTTCAAAGTTTGCAGCCCCAAGGGACGGCGAGATCTCATCTGATCCGCCTAGGACGCCACCACTGGACCCCCAGTCCACAGGAGCCCGTGAAAGTTGTCACGGTTTCGCGGCCCGCCGCCCCCTGGGACGGCGAGGTCTCCTCTGGAGCCAGGTCTCGTCTTACCCCCCAGGACCCCTTGGGCAAGCGAGGTTTCACCCTGACCCGCGTAGGACACCATCCCGTTGGACCTCCCAGGAGCCCACGAAAGTGGTGACGGTTTCGCACTTCGCAGCCCCCAGGGACGACAAGGTCTCATCTGATCCGCGTAGGACCTCACTACCCTGGACACCCCTGGAATTCACGGCTACAGAAAGATCATGCAGGTTCGAGAAAATACGATGCTGGGGTCGCACACATGCATCCAGCCGGCTTGCTGCTTTCCAATGGGAACCTACCCTCGCCCCAGTTCCAGTGTTGCAGATGCCCTCGAGTGAATATCAAACCTGGACCCCAGGTGTTGTGACTCGAAGTCTGTGTCAAGGGTGATCGCGCATCACGGTGGCTGCGACAACGGGGTGGATTGCGTTTCCACGATGTTGCGAAATGGGCGGCGTATGGTTTCGTGTGCGTTCTGCGAATCACATACGGTTTGCGGCGTTCGGACGGGAATCATTTCTCACAATGTCCGAACATGCACGCCACACGCTGGCCGCGGTTCCCGCTCGTCGACACGCGCACGCGGGCTGTAATGTGTAGCTCAACATGGGGTGGTTATGGTTCGATCCCGCTGGGTTGCCGCGCGATTTGAGATCTGCTGATTTCCGCACGACCGCCGCGAGCTCTGTTCCAGTGCTCCAGATGCCCTAGAAAGTAGAATTGAAATATGGACCCCAGGCGTTTGGACTCAAGCTTTCTTCCAAGAGGGATCGCGATTCCACGGCCTTGCGAACGGGGTGGATGTCGCGGTCCTACGGCGTTGCGCCGTAGGTGGCGCATCAATGGGCTTGCGCGTTCCGTGGAGCCCCACCAACATGTCACTCCCCGTCCGCCGATGCGAACTCGCCACCGATTTTTCCATGTGGGAATCATCCGCCCCGCATGGACATCACAATCCCAACCCCACGTCTTGTACTCGCAGTATCCAAGTCGACGAATGTTTGCATCTTTCCACCTTTCGATCTGGCGCCTCCACATCGACAGACATCGTGTTGTCTACGATCCTGCACTCTGACCTCCATCTGCGTCAATCTTTCCGTTTTGCATTCTCTGCTCGCGTCACCCACCCAGAATCTTTCAATCTTCAATTTGCCAACCACTCGACGACGCCCCGATATAAAAGCAAACGCGCAATGCGGGGCCGTGGCAGGGACGCCAGGGGGCATCGACGGACGTCGCGGCGTGGAACCAGGCCGATTGCGATCGGACCAGGTTAGCCACACATGCACACAGTATTGCATGCGAGACTTCGCCCGAAACACATTGTTGAACGCCCCGCGCTCGCGACCCCGACGAATGGCCGCTGAGCGAGGGCTGCGGAGAGCGCCGCGGGCCGTGGACACGACACGACATGCTCCGGCGAGGGGCGGCGCACACCGGTTGAGGAAGGGCGCCCCGGGCCCCCGAGATGGCAGAAGCTGGTGCTGACCCAGATCCCCGACGTCGTGATTGTTTCACGACATGGCCCCTCACAAATCTGAGCCCCTTCGCCAGGACCCGTTCTTTATCTGGACTCGCTCTGTGACGCCCCCGAGGCCTGGCGAAGCCCCATGAGGCCGAAAACGTTCAGAAATCTTCCGCTGGTATTCTCTCGGCACGCGAAAATGCCCGGGCAGTTCCTACTACGCGGCAGCGGCGCGCGCACCCAGATAGAAACTGCGGTCTGGCGGATGTAAGGGGGCAAGAACGATAAGAGGAGGAAACATCGAGCTTGAGTCGGCGGCGCATCGCCGATAGCAGAAGCCCGCGGTCCCGGGAAGGCCGGGCGATCAGGTTTCCCGATCGGCGAAGCCTTGGCGATTGGGGGTCGATGCACCCCTCTCTGGGCCAGCCTGCCCCCTCTGACGCTGCCTCCGAAGGCAAGGGGAGGGGAGGGGCGCGCGAGAGCGCAGAAGGGGGCGGGCGAGGGGGGAGGGGGGTCTCCCACGAGCGCATCGGGCCGCTCAGAAGCTCTCCTGCCCCCCCGAAGAGTTCTGTTGGAGGCCCCTGATCCCATTCTACAGCCAGACAGAACGGCAAACGGGCCAACCAGCCAACCAACCAATTTACTGGGTTCCCATCCCCTGGTGCGACGCCGCGCGACTAGGGCAGTGGGATGATATGCGTTCGCCCCCGCGGCGTTGCCACAAGCCGATGAAGTGTACAATGATCCCACCAACCCTTAGGGCTAAGGTGGTCTACCGAGCTCGTTCTTTCCTCTTCCAAAATGCCCCCCCCTTCCAGGAGGTTTACCCCGACCCCTTTTCCCAAGCGCCGGGTCATACTGGACCGGTTTATATGCGTACCCGCCTGTTGCTCTTCTAAATCTTCAGTTAAGGGAAACCGACAGCACCTCTCAAGATCACTCGTATAATACGAACAGTTTCGCGGATCTAGCTCGAGTAGCAGACCGAGTTCAGAGCTCTTGATGGAACAGATCAATGCGCCTGATAATTCTAAATCGGTTCCTGTAAGTATCAGCTCTGCAACTGTCCTAAATCTCGAGTTAAATACAGAAAACCGTCAACGCGTGTCAAGATGACACGAAATGGCCGACGTGTCCCTCAAGTCTTTTGATAGTAATACTACAGCTACGGACCTGAGAATTTAACTGGCAGACGCGGCATAACCCACTATAGGTGGTAAAAATACCAGTTCTCCAAACGAATTTTCAAATTTTGCACAAAGATAGAAAAACTGGGATCTGGCGGTGAAGCGTCAACCAGGTAACCGCCGGAAGCCTCGTAGAGCTCTGTTCTCGCGCGGCGCTGCTCGGAGCACACGAAAAAAACTTTCTCAAGCGTGAAGAAAAAAAGGTCTGAAAATATGTTTTTGTCATTTTCATCTTCGCTTCGTGGACCTAGCTCGAGTGCCAGACCGAGTTCGGACCTCTCGATGCGAGAAAAGAACGAGCCGGGTGACACTGGATCGGTTTATATGCGCACCATCTCTGTAGCTCCTCAAAATCTTCAGTTAAGGGAAACCCACAGCACTCGTCAAAATGACTCGCATGATACAAATAGTTTCGCGGATCTAGCTCGAGTAGCAGACCGAGTTCAGACCTCTCGATGGAACAGACAAACGCGCTTGATGATTCTAAATCGGTTTCTGTAAGTATCAGCTCTGTAACTGTCCTAAATCTCGAGTTAAGTACAGAAAACCGTCAACGCATGTCAAGATGACTCGAAACGGCCGAGGTTCCCTCAAGTCTTTTGATAGTAATATTGCAGCTACGGACATGAGAATTCAACTGGCAGATGCGGCATAACCCGCTACAGGTGGGAAAAATACCTGTTCTTAAAACGAACTTTCAAACTGGGCGCCGGCGGTAAACCGTCAACCTTTCTTACCGCCGGGGGACTCGTAGAGCTTCCTTATCATATATTACGTCCAAAGAATTGGCAGAGAACTAATAGTTTTCCAGCCTCCGCTGATAGCAGACTCGAATACAAGACCGAGTTCAAAGCTCTAGATGCAACGGACGCACGCGCCTGATGGTGCTCAATCGATTGATGTGCGTACGAGCTCTGTGGCCCTCCCACATCTCGAGTTAAGTACAGAGAACCGGCAGCATCTGTCAAGATGACTCGATTAATACGAATAGGTTCACAGACCTAGCTCGAGTAGCAGACCGAATTCAGACCTCTAGATGCCATAGATGAACGCGCCTGATGGTTTCGATGGGTCCTGTAGGTATCAGTTCTGTAGCTGTCCTACAGCTCGAGTTAAGTCCAGAAAGCCAACAGCATCTGTGAAGACTCGAATAATACGAATACGTTCGTGGACATAGCTCGAGTAGCAGACCGAGTTCAGACCTCTAGATGCAACCGATGAACGCGCCTGATGATTCTGGATCGATTTCTGTTAATATGAGCTCTGTAGGTGTACTACAGCTCGAGTTAAGTACAGAAAACCGACAGCAGCTATTAAGATGATCGAAAAATACGAAGAGTTTCGCGGACCTAGCTCGGGTAGCAGACCGATTTCAGACCTCTAGATGCAACAGACGAACGCGCCTGATGATTATAGGAGGGTTGCTGTTAACATCAGCTCTGTAGCTGTCCTATAGCTCGAGTTATGTTCAGAAAACCGCCATCGCGTGTCAAGACGACCCGAAAAGGCCGATCCCGCCGCAGTGCTTTTTGGCAGTAATATCTACCCGAGCGATCTGAGATTAAGACAGCGAGCGGAAATAAAATCGAATGTCACGGGCATCCATACTAGAGCTCAAACGAATGGTTGAATTTCGAGAACAAAATTGTCAACATACCAAAAGTCAGAAAACACTGGGCGCCGGCGGTAAACCGTCAACCTTTCTTTTTTGCGGACTTTGCGGTCGACTGTGCAGGCTTTCCAGCCTAGTCGGAGCAAGAGGCTGGCGTATCGGGAGCAGGCGGAAGCCTCACCGATCCAAACGATCAGAGGCGAGAGCCAGCTCTTATTAGGAGGATGTGAGGTCAAGCACACACACACACACGACACACACACACAGGCAAGGCGTGAGTGAGCACAATCACTTATTCACATCATATCCTGTCCGAAATACGCATGTACAACCCGCGGCAAGATCATAATCGTATGCTCAACGGCCGAGATCTCGGCATCTGTCACTGTTGAAGTTGGATCAATCGAGAACGCCGCACTATACACCTCCGTCCAGATAATCTCATGACTGAGTGGCTGCCTTGAGAGCCTCGATATCCGTCCAACATCTATCCAGCACCCAACTCCCACGCCGTCGCAAGAAACGCCACCATCGAATCCGGCTCTGATGGCACAAACGCGAAAAACCTGATCTAACTGAGGGGCGTAAAGCCCAATCCTATCCCGAATCACTGGTGGCTGGTGGCCCGACACGGGCCGTATGAGTGAGTACATCTGCACGCGTGTTCCATTCCCTATATGTGTGGTCGACAATTTCCCTCCCATGAGCAGCAGGCCAAATTCCAAACCTCTGACACATGTTGTCGTGTTGATTTATCAATCTGTTGATCCTATCTTGATATGTACGATTAAGCACCCTCCAGACACCCTGAAGCCAAGACACCACCAGAAGACTGTCCCCAGAGATGTACACAGGGATCCCACATGAGTCGAGGTCGTACACAACCTCCTTCATATTTTGTAACGCAATACGTTTGGCCAATTTGTCGTTGAAAGCTGGAGTGCCCTCTTGAGCCCCATAAGTGCGTAGGTCGTTTTGTGTGATTGTATGTACCTCCTGCAGGGCCCCACCTGTTGTACCGTACCCTTTTCTCTTCTGAAAATAATTCAGCATCGTCCGTGTACACATGTGCTCGCAGAACTGAACATACGCAGCATCTCTCGGCACATAGACTCGTAGAGCTTTCTGACTCATAGACTCGTGAGCATATGTCGGCACATAGACTCGTAGAGAATATGTCGGCACATAGACACATAGTGCTACGCATGTGTCCATACTAAACCTTTCTTACCGCCGGGGGACTCGTAGAGCTTCCTAACCATATATTATGTCCAAAGAATTAGCAGAGAACGAATAGTTTTTTCAGCCCGAGCGCTGGTAGCAGACTGAACTCAGGCGTCTAGTCATATCCCATTGCTGTGCTGAACAGTTCTATAGCTCATCTCCAGCGTGTACCATTAGGGAGAAAATAGCAGAGTAGGAACACGTGTTTGGCATCAGCGCTCACAACAGACCCAAACCAAGCGTCTAGATGCTTCGCGCCTCATGATGTCCTTCTGATTTGTCGGTCGAAGAGCTCTCGAGCTGCTCTGCAGCTCGAGTTCAGTGAAGAAATTCACCATCATTTGGAAAAAATCTCGGTCGAATACGAATAGTTTTGTGAACCTAGCTCGGGTAGCAGGCCGAGTTCAGACCTCTCTGTGCGCACCAGCTCTGTAGCTCTCCTACAACCCGAATTCAATACAGAACATGGACAACATCTGTCAAGACAACTCGAAGAATACGAACAGTTTTGCAGACCTAGCCCGAGTAGCAGACGCAACAGACGAACAGGCCTGATGATAATGTGCGCATGAGCTCTGCAGCTCTTCTACAGCCCGAATTACGTGCGAAAACGGACAGCACCTCTCAAGATTACTCGAACGATACAAATGGTTTCGTGGACCTAGCTCGACTAGCACACCGAGTTCAGACCTCTTGATGCAACAGACGCACGCGCCCGATTATTCTGCATCGGTTTCTGTGCGCATCAGCTCTGTAGCTCTCCTAGAGCTCGAGTTAAGTACAGAAAACCGACGGTCCCTGTCGAGATGACCCGAGCGATACGAATAGTTTTGCGGACCTAGCTCGAGTAGCAGACCGATGTCAGACCTCTGCATGCGACAGGCGGACACGCCTGATGTCTCCGAACCGGTTTCTGCAATTACCAGCCCTGCAGCACCCCTACAGCCCGAGTTAAGTACAGAACCGACAGCACCTCTCAAGATGACTCGCACACTGTGAATAGTTTCGCGGACCTAGCTCGAGCAGCAGACCGAGTTCAGACCTCTGGATGCAACAGACGAACGCGCCTGATGATTGTGAATCGGTTACGTATCAGCTCTGTAGCTTTCCTACAGTTCGAGTTAAGTAGAAAAAAACCGACAACGCATGTCAGGATGACCCCAAACGGCCGATCGCGCCCCCCTGCTTTTTGGCAGTAATATCTATCCGATCGAGCTGAAATTAAGACCGCGAGCGGGAATAAGATTGAATACCACGGGAAAATTTACTAGAGCTCTAACGAATGATTGAGTTGCGAGAACAAAATTCTCATCCGACCAAAAGTCACCAAAATTCTTGCCAACTAGCTCTCCAGCACCCCGGAATTACTCTTAAGCTTCCAGCAACTAGCTAAGGAAAGCTCTACGAGTTATTTTGCACAAAAATAGAAAAACTGGGCGCCGGCGGTAAACCGTCAACCTTTCTTACCGCCGGGGGACTCGTAGAGCTTCCTTGCCATGTATTATGTCAAAGGAATTGGCAGAGAACGAATAATGTGTCAGCCTCCGCTGATAGCAGATGAATACAAGGCTGAGTTCAGAGCTCTAGATGCAACAGACGCACGCGCCTGATGATGCTGAATCGATTGATGTGCGTACGAGCGCTGTGGCCCTCCCACATTTCGAGTTCAGTACAGAAAACCGACAGCATCTGTCAATATGACTCGAATAATACGAATAGGTTTACAGATCTAGCTCGAGTAGCAGACCGAGTTCAGATCTCTAGATGCCATAGATGAACGCGCCTGATGATTCCGAATGGGTTTCTGTAAGCATCAGGTTTGTAGCTGTCCTACAGCTCGAGTTAAGTCCAGCAAGCCGACAGCATCTCTGAAGATGACTCGAATAATACGAATGGGTTCGTGGACATAGCTCGAGTAGCAGACCGAGTTTAGACCTCTAGATGCGACGGACGAACGCGCCTGATGACTCTGGATCGGTGTCTGTTAACATCACCTCTGTAGCTGTCCTACAGCTCGAGTTAAGTACAGAAAACCGACAGCACCTGTCAAGATGACTCGAATAATACGAATAGTTTTGCAGACCTAGCTCGGGTAACAGACCGAGTTCAGACCTCTAGATGCGAGAGACGAACGCGCCTGATGATTCTAAGGGGGTTTCTGTTAATATCAGCTCTGTAGCTGTCCTAAAGCTCGAGTTATGTACAGAAAACCGTTACCACGTGTCAAGATGACCCGAAACGGCCGATCCCGCCCCCCTGCTTTTTGGCAGTAATATCTACCCGATCGAGCTGAGATCAAGACGGCAAACGGGAATAAGATTGAATATTATGGGAAAAAATACTAAGGAGCTCTAACGAATGGTTGAATTTCGAGAACAAAATTTTCGACCGACCAAAAGTCACCAAAAGGTCCGTCGACATTTTTCTTGCCAACTAGCTCTCCAGCGCCCCGGAATTACTCTTAAGCTTCCAGCAACTAGCTAAGGGAAGCTCTACGAATACTGACCCCAAGTCGTCACGTTGTCTCTTAAGGTCGGCTCGGCCAACTAGCTCCAACTTGGTAGCGCCCAAAACCCGGAGAGCAGAGAGACCCTCCGGGAGGGAAAATCTTTCCTGGAGAGCTCTCGGCGGCTCCCCTGAAGCGCTTCTGAAGCGCTGCCCGGAACGCTTCCACGCGTGCCTGCACGCGTGCACGCACGCGTGAACGCTTGCCGGAAGCGCCCACGAACCCGCTGCCCAAACGGGCGAGTTGCTGCGAGGATCGTGGAGCGGCGGAGATGGGCTGCTGGCGGGCACCACCACCGTCCGGCTTCTAATCTGAAGCCCTCTAGCTCTCAGAGAGCTCTCCGGGAACCTGCGCCCGAATTCCTCTCAGCTCATCTTGCCGAAGAGCTCTACGAGGTACCGACTCCAAGTCATCGCATTGTCTCTTAAGGTCGGGTCTGCCAACTGGGCGCCGGCGGTAAACCGTCAACCCTTCTTACCGCCGGGGGAATCGCAGAGCTTCCTGACCGCATATTATGTCCAAAGAATTAGCAGAGAACGAATAGTTTTTCAGCCCGAGAGCTGATAGCAGACTGATCTCGTCTAGTGATATCCCATTGCTGTGCTGGGCAGTTCTACAAGAAAGTACCATTAGGGAGAAAATAGCAGAGTACGAATCCGTGTTTGGCGTCTGCGCTCACACCAGACCGAGTTCAGACCTCTAGATGCAACAGACGAACGCGCCTGATTATTCTGCATCGGTTTCTGTGCGTGTCAGCTCTGTAGCTCCCCTAGAGCTTAAGTTAAGTACAGAAAACCGACAGTTCCTCTCGAGATGACCCGAGCGATACGAATAGTTTTGCGGACCTAGCTCGGGTAGCAGACCGATTTCAGACCTCTCCATGCGACAGGCGGGCGCGCCTGACTGGGCGCCGGCGGTAAACCGTCAACCTTTCTTGCCGCCGGGAGACTCGCAGAGCTTCCTTTGCATATATATTATGTCCAAAAGAAAAAGCAGGGAACGAATATTTTTTCAATCCGAGCGCTGATAGCAGACTGATCTCAGGCATCTAGATACGATTGCCGCTGATAATTCCCTTCCCATTGTTGTGCTGAACAGATCCAGCCAAGCGGCGCCCCATGTTTTCCAATTCATTTATGTGCCAAAGAGCTCTCAAGTTAGGTGAAGAACTTCACCGTGATTTCAAAGAAAAAACGATCCAATACGAATAGTTTTGCGACCTAGCTCGAGTCGCAGACTGAGTTCAGAGCTCTGGATGCCTCAGACGAACACGCCTCTGATTCAGAATCGATCATGTGTGCGTACAAGCTCTGTAGCTATGCTAAAGCTCGAGTTAAGTACAGAACACCGACAGCGCCTGTTTAGAGAACTCGAAGAATACAAATGGTTTCGCGGACCTGGCTCGAGTAGCAGACCTAGTTCAGACCTCTCGATGCAACAGACAAGCGCGCCTCATGATTCTGAATCGGTTTCTGTGAGCACCAGCTCTGAAGCGTTTCTACAGCCCGAGTTAAGTACTGAAAACCGACAGCACCTGTCAAGATGACTCGAAGAATACGAACAGTTTCGCGGACCTAGCTCGAGTAGGAGACCGAGTTCAGACCTCTAGATGTAACTGACGAACGCGCCTGCTGATTCTGAATCGGTTACGTATGCGTATCAGCTCCGTAATATTTTCGCGACCTAGCTCGAGTAGTAGACCGAGTTCAGACCCCCAGATGCTGGAGACAGACGCGCCTGATAATTCTGAACCGGTTTCTGTGAACACCAGCTCTGTAGTTCTCCTACAGCCCGAGTTAAGTACAGAAAACCGACAGTACCTGTCAAGATGACTCGAATAATACGAATAGGCTCGCCGACATAGCTCGAGTAGCAGACCCAGTTGAAACCTCTAGATGTAACATATGAACGCGCCTGGTGATTTTGAATGGGTTTCTGTAAGTATCAGCTCTGTTGCTGTCCTACAGCTCGAGTTCGGTACAGAAAACGGATAGCACCTGTCAAGATGACGCGAATAATACGAATAGTTTTGCGGACCTAGCTCGAGTAGCAGACCGAGTTCAGACATCTAGATACTTTAGACGAACACGCCAGATGATTTTGAATCGATTACGTGTGCGTATCAGCTCTGTAGCTACGCTTCAGCTTGAGGTAAGTACAGAAAACCGACGGCACCTGTCAAGATGACTCGAAGAATAGAATAGTTGCGCGGACCTAGCTCGAATAGCAGACCGAGTCCAGACCTCTAGATGCAACTGACGAACGCGCCTGATGATTCTGAATCGGTTTCTGTAACTATCAGCTCTGTAGCTGCTCTACAGCTCGAGCTAAGTACAACAAACCGTCAACGCGTGTCAAGATGACTCGAAACGGCCGATCCCGCCGCAACGCTTTTTGGCAGTAAAAGGTACCCGATCGAGCTGGGATTAAGACGGCGAGCGGGAATAAGATCGAATATGGTGGGAAAAAATATCAGAGCTCAAACGACGTGGTGAATTTCGAAAGAAAGAAAAAATGTTCAACCGACCAAAAGTCACCAAAAGGTCCGTCGAGATCGTCTTGCCAACTAGCTCTCCAGCGCCCGGGAATTACTCTTAAGCTTCCAGCAACTAGCTAAGGGAAGCTCTACGAGTTATGTCTCCGAATCGGTTTCTGCAATTACCAGCCCTGTAGCCCCCCTACAGCCCGAGTTAAGTAAAGAAAACTGACAGCACCTCTCAAGATGAGTCGAACAATACGAACAGCTTCGCGGACCTAGCTCGGGCAGCAGACCGAGTGCAGACCTCTGGATGCAACGGTCGAACGCGCCTGCTGATTCTGAATCGGTGTCTGTAAGTATCAGCTCTGTAGCTGTCCTACAGGTTAAGTACAAAAACCGTCAACGCCTCTCAACATAACTCGAAACAGCCGATCCCGCCCCTGCGCTTTCTTACAGTAAAAGGTACCCGATCGAGCTGAGATCAAGACGGCGAGCGGGAATAAGATCGAATATCACGGGAAAAAAATTGAGCTCAAACGAATTGAGGAATTTCGAGAACAAACTTTTCAACAGACCAAAAGTCATCAAAAGGTCCGTCGAGATTTTTCTTGCTAACTAGCTCTCCACCGCCACGGAATTACTCTTAAGCTTCCAGCAACTGGGAGCGGCGGTAAACCGTCAACCAGGTTACCGCCGGCAGCCTCGTAGAGCTCTTTTCTCGCACGGCGCTGCTTTGAACACGTGGGAGAAGCTTTCTCATACGCGAGCTGAAAACTCGCAAAAGCAGTTGTTTTTGTTGTCACCCAAAGACTGTTCCGCCAAGTGTTTTGATAGTAGTAGTGCAGCTACACACCTGAGAATTCGACTGGCAGACGCGACATAACCCACTACAGGTGCGAAACTTACTAGTTCTCAAAACGAATTTCAAAATCTCTCACACTCTTCGAAAAACCGACTCCAGATTGACACATTGTCCGCCCGGGCCCGGTCGACCAACTTGGAACCGGCGGTAAACCGTCAACCAGGTTACCGCCGGGGACCTCGTAGAGCTCTTTTCTTGCTCAGCGCTCCTCAAAACACGTGAAGGAAGCTTCTAAAGCGAGGGCCAAAAAAACTCTGAAAAAAAGGTCGCATATGAATAGTTTTGCGGACCTAGCTCGAGTAGCGGACTCTTTTCAGAGCTCTGGATGCTTCAGCCGAACGCCCCTGATGATTCTGCATCGCTTTCTGTGCGCATCAGCTCTGTAGCTGTGCTACAGCTCGAGTTAAGTACAAAATACCCACAGCGCCTCTAAAGAGAACATAAGAAATACGAATAGTGTCGTGGACCTAGCTCAAGTAGCAGACCGAGCTCAGATCTCTCGATGCAACAGACGGACGCGCCTGGTGGACATCAATCGGTTTATGTGCGTACCAGCTCTCTGGCTCCTCTAAATCTTGAGTTCAGCGCATGAAGCCGACATCACTGGTCAAAATGACTCGAAGAATACAAATAGTTTGAGGGACCTAGCTCGAGTAGCAGACCGAGTTCAGGCCTCTAGATGCAACAGACGAATACGCCTGATGATTCTGAATCGGTTTCTGTAAGCATCAGCTCTGTAGCTCTCCGAAATCTCGAGTTAAATTCAGAAGACCGTGAACACGTATAAGATGACTCCGAACACAGCCGGTTCCTCCAAGAGTTTTGATAGTAATACTGCACCTACGGACCTGAGAATTTGACCGGCAGACGCGACATAGCCCACTACAGGTGCGCAAAATCTGGTTTCTCAAAATGAATTGTCTGATATCTTTCAAATCTCAGTAAAACCGACCCAAAGTCGTCACATTGTGCGCCCGGGCCGGACAAGCCAACTGGCGCCGGCGGTGAACCGTCACCCTGGTCACCGCCGGGAACCTCGTAGAGCTCTTTACACGCGTAAGAGTGCTTAGATTCAAAGCAGACAGCTTATTGGAGCATTTCTAGAAAAACGTAGAATTTTCATTTTTGGTTCTCAACTTCGTGTCAGTTGCTCCTAATTTTTCGATAGTAAAACTGGCTCTATAGAGCTGAGCTGCTCTAGGAACAAATTTTAGATTCCAATGCTGGGCAAAAAAATCTGCTTTCTCATGATAAATAGACAAATATATTCCAAATAAAAGCAAAACCAACCCAAAGTTGCAACATTGTCTCTTCTGCTCGGGTCGGCCAACTAGCTCCCCCCTGCGCCAGAATTCCTCCAGCTCGTCGATGACGAAGAGCTCTACGAGGTACTAGCTCCACCCCGCGCCGGAATTCCTCTAGCTCACCGATGCCGAAGAGCTCTACGAGGTACTAGCTGCAGCCCGCGCCGGAATTCCTCTAGCTCATCGATGCCGAAGAGCTCTACGAGGTACTAGCTCAGGGAAGCTCTACGAGTTACCAGCTCCACCCTGCGCCCGAATTCCTCTTAGCTCACCGATGCCGAAGAACTCTACGAGGTACTTGGTAGCGCGCAGACACGGAGAGCGACTGGGAACCGCGGTAAACTGTCAACCCGGCTACCGCCGGGCACCTCGTAGAGCTCTTTTCTTGCACAGCTCTCCTTCGAACACATGAAGGAAACTTCTGAAGCGCGAGCCCCAAAACTCGAAAAATCATGATTTTTCGGTTTTCATCCAAAGTCGGTTGCTCCAAGTGTTTTGATAGTAATACTGCACCTACGGACCCGAGAATTTAACTGGCAGACGCGGCATAACCCACTACAGGTGCGAAAAATCTGCTTTCTCAAAATAAATGGTCAAATATCTCTAAAACTTGCTAGCGCCCAAAACCCGGAGAGCGAAAAGACCCCCGGGATCGGGAAATCTTCCCGGGAGAGGTCGGGGGTGCTCCTCTCAGGAGCTTCGGAAGCGCTGCCAGGAACGCTTCCACGCGTGCCTGTACGCGCGCAGGTACACGTGGAAAGAGCCTCCGGACCGGCTGCCCGGACAGGCGAGGCGCTGCGGGGATTCTGGAGCGGCGAAGATGGGCTGCTGGCGGGCACCACCACCGTCCGGCTTCTAATCTAAAACCTTTTAGCTCTCAGAGAGCTCTCCGGGAATCTTAGCAAGCCCGGCCAAAAGTTAACACTTTGTCCGCCCGGGCCGGGTGGTCCAACTGGGCGCCGGCGGTAAACCGTGAACCTTTCTTACCGCCGGGGGACTCGTAGAGCGCCCTGACCATATATTATGTCAAAGAATTAGAAGAGAACGAATTTTGTTTCAGCCCGAGCGTTGATAGCAGACTGATCTCAGGCGTCTAGTGATATCCCATTCCTGTGCTGAACAATTCTATAGCTCATCTGCAGCGTAGAAAATACCTCTGCGCTCACAACAGACCCGAACCAAGCCTAGATGCTTCGCGCCTCATAATTTCCTTCTGATTTTTTCCAAAGAGCTCACGAGCTGCTCTGCAGCTGGAGCTCAGTGAAGAAATTCACCATAATTTTGAAAAAAATGTCGGTCGAATACGAATAGTTTTGTGAACCTAGCTGGGGTAGCAGACCGAGTTCAGACCTCTCGATGCAACAGACGGACGCTCCCAATGTTTCTGCATGAGTCTGTGCGTACCAGCTCTGTAGCTCTCAGCCCGATTTCAATACAGAAAATGGACAACATCTGTCGAGATGACTCGAAGAATACGAATAGCTTTGCGGACCTAGCCCGAGTAGCAGGCCAGTTCAGACCTCTGAATCCAATAGACGAGCGGACCTGATAATTCCGAATCAGTTTCTGTGCGTACGAGCTCTGCAGCTCCCCTAGAGCTCGAGGGAAGTACGGAAAACCGACGGCCCCTGTCGAGATGACCCGAGCGATACAAATGGTTTTGCGGACATAGCTCGAATAGCAGACTGATGTCAGACCTCTCGATGCGACAGGCGGACGCGCCTGATGTCTTCGAATCGGTTTCTGCAATTACCAGCCCTGCAGCCCCCTACAGCCCGAGTTAGGTACAGAAAACCGAAGCACCTCTCAAGATGACTCGAACAATACGAATAGTTTCGCGGACCTAGCTCGAGTAGCAGACCTAGTTCAGACCTCTGGATGCAACAGACAACCGCGCCTGATGATCCTGAATCGGTTGCTGTAAGTATGAGCTCTCTAGCTGTCCTACAGCTGGAGTTAAGAACAGAAAACCGACAACGCATGTCGAGATGACCCGAAACGGCCGATCCCGCCGCAACGCTTTTTGGCAGTAAAAGGTACCCGACCGAGCTGAGATCAAGATGGCGAGCGGGAATAAGATCGAATATGATGGGAAAAAATACTAGTGCTCTAACGAATGGTTGAATTTGGAGAACAAAATTTTCAACCGACCAAAAGTCAGCAAGAGGTCCGTCGAGATCTTTCTTGCCAACTAGCTCTCCAGCGCGCCGGAACTTGGAACCGGCGGTAAACCGTCAACCAGATTTTTTGCGTCTTTGCTGGGACCGTCTTGGCCACTGAGGCCAGGTCCAACAAGTCTCAGGCGAATCAAAGCCTGTGGGAGCACAACACATAAACGCTCCGCCGCAGATAACTCAGCATCTGTCACAGACAACCCTACAACAGTGAGAACACTGAAGAGGCGAAACTAATACTACTGACAGAGGGGGTGCCAGGCGGACCTGGCAACGTCATGATCATGCAAACCAACAGCATGGATAGAATGGATAAAGGTGGAGAAGGGGCAGAAACAGCGGGGGAGAGGAAGGGACAAACAGAACAGAAGCATGTGCATTCAGTTCAGATAGTTCCATCAAGCTCTCCGCTGGTCATCAATTCAAATAATTCCATAAAGCTGTCATAAAGGTATTTCGCCTCTTTCACAAGAGCAGACGGCCGGGTCGCACTGTCCATAACCTGCTGAAGGTCCTGTAAGACGGCTCCGATTGAATCGTGATCCCTGAAGATTTGGAACGCATCCCAAATCCAACAGTCCCGTTCGTCCTCATCGCAAGCTCGAAATTCAGAAAGGACATCTGGCACATGCACCGTTGACACGACGTCGTCCGTAGCAGTCGTCCGTACAAATCTGTATTTTCTGATACGAAGATTTAGCGCCTTCTCCAGGTACACGCGAGTGCTCTCGTTACTATCGCTATAAGCCAGGGAAAACGCATGAACAAAATCCTCCTCAGCCACCTCCTCCTGCTCGATCTTAGCAACTGCTTCACTATGAACATTCTCCTCCTCCTCGTCCTTGGAGCCAGGGTTCGATGCCACAGCATCAGCTGAACTCCAATACTCCCAACTGCAGAACTCCCAGCTGTTGAACTCCCAACTGCATCAACAACTGCATCAGCGGAACTCCAAACTGTGGAACTTCCTATTGCACTCCGAACAGTGGAACTCCCGACTGCCCTGGAACTCCCAACTGCAGAAGCATCACCCTGATCAGCGCGCACTCGATGACACTCCTCCTTCTCCTCCTCACCAACAAAGAGAACACAAAGATCAGTCTGAGTCCCACACGCAATGTGAACACAGGGATATGTCTGAGTCCCACAATCGGAACACTGCGAACACAAAGAGTTGCCAGCCAATTCAACAGCATCCATATCAGTCTGTGTTCCACAAGTGTCCTCAACCCACTCCTCTTCCTCAGAATCGTCCGAGCAGAAATTCCGATAATATCTGGGCGCGCAAATGCCCGCGCGAACAAGGCACGACGGATCTGGCCCCCGAGCCGTGGACCACAAACGATACCTGACACGTGTCGCCCGCAGGCGGCGCAACTTCGATTGAGAAACTTTGACACCATGCCCATACAGCTGGTCTCGCTCATGCAGGCGAAACTCACCTCCGTACGAAGGGCGAACACGGCAATATAGATCACTAACACACACACTTCGACCGTAGACAAACGAGCAAGACAAACAAGCGAGAAACTCAGAAGTAAACAACGCCGTATCTGTCCAATCTGAAGCAACAAAATCCGCGCCTGACAATTCAGATGCAACAAACTCCATTTATAATACGTGGACTCGCTCAACAAGAAGAAGGCAAATCACAAGCAATAACTAGATGCACAGTTGAGATAACCAAGGAAAATGCTGTTCCAACGATACTCCGACAATCTCAACAATAATACGCACTCCGACGACAATGGGCGCGGACAGGCCTTCGACAATCAATGAGAGTGTACGGTACTCAGGCAAAACAGACACTGAAGCACCGTGTACGGTAAAGAGAACCAAACACCAGGCACGGCACAATGCCGCTCGAGGAGGCCTCCGACGGCGAGGAGGGACAGCAGCAACCTGGTATTTTGCGTCTTTTGCGAAGGCCGGTTCGAGCTCCCATGGGAGCAAGCCTAAACACAAAGAACCTAAACAGCGAAGCTGTACAGGAAGACAGCGAAGCTGCAAAGATTAAAGCAGAGGTGCAGCAAACAGCGAAGCTGTACAGATATGCACAAGACTGCCAATACACGAGAAGACAAATAAAAATAGAAAGAGGGAAGCAAAGCAGTGCGAGACCATGCAGTAACCACATATAACGATTACCGTCTCAGCACCACTGAAAATAAAAGCAGTGTAGTGTCGACTAAATCAAAGGCCTACTTTGAGGCACCACGTGACAAATCACGGAAAGTCACGTTCAAAGGTCAATGAGCACTCAAATCAAGGAAGCAACGAATGACCTACTTTGAGGGATCAAGCGAAGCTCTTATTCAACACACGCGCATGCACGACAACACACACAGGCATGAAGAAAGGCAACGCAATGACAAATCAAGCGTGCAGGATCAATCACATGTGCATCATCTGTGCTGTTTCCGATGCTTCTTGCCGCTCCGCGTCAATGCACTCCTGGAAGTAGAACTCTGAGGACCCCCTTGTTGCGAATCAACCTGGTCTTTTTTGCGTCTTTTGCGAAGGCCGGTTTGAGCTCCCATGGGAGCAGGCCTAAACACAAAGAACCTAAACAGCGAAGCTGTTCAGGAAGACAGCGAAGCTGCAAAGATTGAAGCAGAGGTGCATCAAACAGCGAAGCTGTACAGATATGCACAAGACTGCCAATACACGAGAATACAACTAAAATATAAAGAGGGAGTGAAAGCAATGCGAGACCATGCAGTAACCACATATAGCGATTACCGTCTCAGCACCACTGAGAATAGAAGCAGTGAGAGACCATGCAGTAACCACTGGTTTATATAGCGATTACCGTCTCAACACCACTGAGACAAACACAAAACTAACAACTAAAATGACGAGTACACTTCAAAGTAATGCGAGACCATGCAGTAACCACATATAGCGATTACCGTCTCAGCACCACTGAAAGACCATGCTCGTGAAACACAACGAATTTGCGGTCGACTGTGCACAGAGTCAGGCAAGACACCCACCACTCTTTGAGCGGGAGTGGGCACATGCAAAACTCTTATTCCGAACAAAGTGAAGATCACGCGGAGCTCTTATACCCACATGCGCGCATGTCCGACACACACACAGCATGGCAAGAGTCAACGCAAACACAAAGTCCGAAATATGTCGTAACGACCCGCGGTAAGACAAGAGTCGTATGCTCACGTCAAATGTGTGATAACTGAATGTCTGATAACGCACTCAAGAAGTAACTCTCGGATAACTGAATGTATGATAACGCACTCGGTATCTTGAATCACCTGCATAACTGAGTGTCGGATAACGCACTCAAGTATCTTGGATTCTGATCGATACGATTCAAAGAAAGAAAGAATGAAAACAGGCACGCCGATACAATGCAGAGAACCTCAATCTCAAGATACTCCAATGTCACAGAACTGTCAAAGTACCTCAATGTCAAAGAATACACACGTGTGCAAGAGCAACAATGGAGAAAGCGCAAGCAGGCAGTACAAACAAGTGCAAAGCGACGACAGCGGCCTATGCGTTGAAGTCAGTCCCACTTCTGATGCCAAACAGAGCTGGCCTCCAGCACCTATCATCTGTAGGCCCAAGGAGAGAAGGTCGTCGCAGCCGACGAAGTACCCGAATCTATTGCACGACCCGCCCGCGCGCACACGGCCGCCCAGGGGGCAGCCTGAGGAGACAGGCTTGAGGAAGCCCCCGACGGGCCAGGCCACCGCTGAGATCCCCGAGGAGGGACAGCAGCAACCTGGTCACCGCCGGGAACCTCGTAGAGCTCGGAACCTCAACCAGATTGTTTTGCGTCTTTGCTGGGACCATCTTGGCCACTGAGGCCAGGCCCAACGAAGTCCCAGGCGAAGCGAAACCTCAAAATTGTCAAGCAAGCAGTCCGCTCTTATAGAGAAACAGAAACATGCATGACCAAAGACGTTCGCACAACCTGTGGGAGAACCTCGCAGACGCGCTCCGCCGCTGAAGGCTCGTACAACCCTACAACAGTGAGAACACTGAAGAGGCGAAACTAAAACTACGACAAGAGAGCCAGGAGACCTGGCCAAGAACCGAACATGCACACACTAAATTATTAGAGCTCAAACAATGCACAGAATGACCACACGAGGCAATCACAAACAAAAATGAAAAGACCACGCGAGGCAATCACAATCAACAATCCAATAGAATACAGCGTACAATACACAGAGAGGTAACGCATGCAGACAATCATGTTCAAAGCTGCCCTATCGTTTGCCTTTGCCTCTGCCTTTGCGGCTACCTCTAGAGCTCCCACCGTTATCGGGAGAAACTCGAATGCTTTGGGAAGATTCGGGAACCAACTTTTGATGTCCAGTCTTGGCTATCACATCCGAAGCGACACGGACAGACGACGACCCCGACGGAAAGGCGATTCGTCCACGTGGCGACGTAATTCTGAGCTCTTGGGGCTCCCACATTTGCTGTAGTCTCCGGGTGTCTGCTGCGAGTCTCCGCGGGTCTGCGCGACTGGCACTCTCGAAGAGTCCGTCTGGAACAAAACTGAAACAATCGACAATGTACCCTGGAGCTTTAAACCTGGCCTCCTCGGCACGGTCCATTTTCCCCGTCACGAAACGGTGAGATTTGAGACAACCCAAAAGTTCTCCCAGAAACGACTGAACATGATCCGTGAGGTTGAACAAAGTATGGAACCAAAATGATACATGATGTTTTGGGATGGTCATTGGCTCTGTCATGAGGTCTACGAATAATTCAAGCCCCTGGATTAAATACTGCAGCGCAATCTGGCCAGTGAACCCCTTCTGGGCAGTGCTGTCAATCCATGTTTTGACGGCGTCCTGGAAAGTGAGCTGAGTTTGCACACAGGCGTCCTTCAAAGTGAACTGAGTATGCACGCCAGCATCCATTGAAGTGAACTGAGTTTGCACACAGGCGTCCTCGCAAGTGAACTGAGTTTGCACGCCGGCACCCATTGAAGACACTCGAATGCTTTGAGAATGCACTTGGACCTCAGCATCAATTGAGGACACCCGAATGCTCTGAAAGGGACAGTGCACTTCGTCAACCTGGACACCAGCATCACTTGACAATACCCGAATGCTTTGAGAAGGATATTCGACCTCGTCAACCTGGACCCCAGCATCAATAGCAGAAGAAAAACCGCGAAGTGCAACGGAATCAACTTTCGGGCAGCTATCAGAGGGATGGAGTAATGCTGTCAACAACTTATTAGCCTGAGCATCCAACTCTGCATGCAAGACCGTGTCACGGGCGACTACGCCTTCGAGCACCAACGGAAGAGGACAATTCGGTCGAACCCATCCAAGTTGGCAAGCCCGAGCCCGACGCAAACACCTGGATGCGAGACTCCGCACATGAGGCATCTGGCACAAACAAGACCACAAATGATAGGTATATGGCAGAAAACTGAAGGAAGATGTGTGAGGACACCTGAGAGATCACAACAATGAAATACTGCAAATTGAACCATATGCAATCCACTCAAGGCAGATCTGAAAGAACAGAGACTTACGAGCACCACTCTAGGCAGTGAGGAACAAGTCAGCGTATACAAATGGCCACCACCAAGCCGCAACGAGAAATGGATATGAGAGACCAACAATGACAAGCAGGATGTAAAGGGAGATGGGCAGTTGCGTAAGCAGAGCAAAACAACACGCTAGCTCAACGTTCACCTTCGCGGAGGTTCCCCAGGCAGGAGAAAATGAACGTTCGCGGAGCCTTGGGCCTCCTCGCTTCCTTGAGCCGGGAACCTCGTAGAGCTCTTTTCTTGCTCTCGATCGACGGAACACATGAAGAAAGCTTCTGGAGCGAGAAACAAAAAACTCGGAAAGGGAAGAAGAAAAAAAAAAAAAAAAAAAACGTTTTTCTGTTTTTATCAAACGTCGGTTCCTCCAAGTGTTTTGATAGCAATACTGCACCTACGGACCTGAGAATTTGACTGGCAAACGCGGAATAACCCACTACAGGTGCGAAAAATCTGGTTTCTCAAAATAAATGGTCAAATATCTTTCAAATCTTAAGAAAACCGACCCCAGGTCATCACATTGTCTCTTAACGTCGGGTCGACCAACTGGGCGCCGGCGGTAAACCGTCAACCTTTCTTACCGCCGGGGGACTCGTAGAGCTTCCTGCAACGAATAGTTTTTCGGTCCCCGCTAATAGCAGACTCGAATAGAAGACTTAGTTCAGAGCTCTAGATGCAACAGACGCACGCGCCTGATGATGCTGAATCGATTGATGTGCGCACGACTCTGTGGCCCTCCTACAACTCAAGTTAAGCACAGAAAATCGACAGCATCTCTCAGGATGACTCGAATGATACGAACAGGTTCACGAACCTAGCTCGAGTAGCAGACCGAGTTCAGACCACTAGATGCAACAGATAAACGCGCCTGATGATCGAATGGGTTTCTGTAAGTATCAGTTCTGTAGCTCTCCTACACCTCGAGTTAAGTCGAGAAAACCGACAGCACCTGTCAAGAAGACTCGAATAATACGAATAGATTCGCGGACCTAGCTCGAGTAGCAGACCGAGTTCGGACCTCTAGGTGCAACAGATGGGCGCGCCTGATGATTCTGGATGGGTTTATATTAATAGCAGCTCTGTAGCTGCCCTACAGCTCGATTTAACAGAAAACCGACAACGCCTGTCAAGATGACTCGAATAATACGAATAGTTTCGCGGACCTAGCACAGGTAGCAGACCGAGTTCAGACCTCTCGATGCAACAGACGACGCGCCTGATCATTCTAAGAGGGTTTCTCTTAATATGAGCTCTGTAGCTGTCCTACAGCTCGAGTTGAATACAGAAAACCGACAGCACCGTCAAGATGACTCGAATAATACGAATAGATTCGTGGACATAGCTCGAGTAGCAGACCGAGTTCAGACCTCTAGATGCAACGAATGAACGCGCCTGATGATTATGGATAGGTTTCTGTTAAAAATAAGCTCTGTAGCTGCCCTACAGCTCGAGTGAAGTACAGAAAACCGACAGGACTGTCAAGATGACTCGAATAATGTAAATAGTTTCGTGGACCTAGCTCGGGTAGCAGACCCAGTTCAGACCTCTGGATGCAGCAGACAAACGCGTCTGATCATTCTAAGAGGATTTCTGTTAATATCATCTCTGTAGCTGCCCTGTAGCTCGAGTTATGTTCAGAAAACCGCCACCGCGTGTCAAGATGACCCGAAACGGCCGATCCCGCCGCAGTGCTTTTTGGCAGCAAAATCTACCCGATCGACCTGAGATTAAGACGGCGAGCGGGAATAAGATCTAATATAACGGGAAAAAAAACTAGAGCTCAAACGAATTGAGGAATTTCGGGAAAAAAAAAATCAACCGACCAAAAGTCAGAAAAAAGTCCGTCGAGATTTTCCTTGCCAACTAGCTCTCCAGCGCCCTGGAATTACTGGGAGTGGTGGTAAACCGTCAACCAGGTTTTTTGCGGTCTTTGCGATCGACTATGCGGGCCGTCAGGCCCAGTCGCTAGCAGGAAAAAGGGCGGCATACAGAGTCAGGCAAGACACCCGCCACTCTTTCACCGGAAGTGGGCACATGCGAATCTCTTATTCCGAACAAAGTGAAAAGCACGCGGAGCTCTTATACCAACATGCGCGCATGCCCGACACACACACACACAGCAGGGCAAGAGTCAATGCAAACACAAAGTCCGAAGTATGTCGAAACCTCAGAGACACATCGATGATGCGACAACCGACCGTGTTACGATATTTCCATCAAAGAAACAACATGCACAAACCAAAGATGCAAGAGAATGGTGATGCTGATCGGACCCATCTCAGATGGCAGGCCCGAGCACGACGCATACGCCTGGATGTGAGGCTCCGCACGTGAGGCATCAGTCACAATCAAAGTCCAATTCAGTCAGAAATGTGAAGCCGAAGCAAAGAGAATAGAGGAAGGAACAAGTACAATTGTCACACAATGAATTCAATGTGCTACCCGCACTCGAAAGAGATCAATATGCAATCCACTCAAGGCAGATCTGGAAGAAACGAGACTTACGAGCACCACTCTAGGCAGTGAGGAACAAGTCCGCGTATACAAATTGCCACCACCAAACCGCAACGAGAAATGAATATGAGAGGCAAACAATGACAAGCAAGATGCACAGGGAGATGGGCAGTTGCGTAAGCAGAGCAAAACAACACGCTAGCTCAACGTTCACTTTCGCGGAGGTTCCCCAGGCAGGAGAAAATGAACGTTCGCGGAGCCTTGAGCCTTGAGCCTTGAGCCAAAATGGCTACGGAGCCTCGTAGAGTTCTTTTCTCGCACGGCGCTACTCGGAACACGTGGGAGACGCTTTCTCATACGCGAGCTGAAAACTCGGAAGAAGAGGTTTTTTTAGTTGTCGCCCAAACACGGTTCCGCCAAATGTTTTGATAGTAGAACTACAGCTACGGACCTGAGAATTTGACTGGCGAGCGCGGCATACCCAACTACAGGTGCGATAAATACCAGTTCTCAAAACGAATGTTCAAATCTCTCACAAAGTTCGTCCAACCGACCCAAAGTTCACACATTGTCTGTCGGGGCCGGGTCGGCCAACTGGGCACCGGCGGTAAACCGTCAACCTTCTTACCGCCGGGGGACTCGTAGAACTTCCTGACCATATATTATGTGTAAAGAATTACCAGAGAACGAATAGTTTTTCAGCCCGAGCGCTGATAGCAGACTGATCTCAGGCGCCCAGACACATTTCTCTATTGCCCCTGATAGTTTCCTTCCCATTGCTGTGCTGAACAGTTCTATAGCTCATCTGCAGTGTAGAACCAAGAAAAACAATACCATTAGAGAGAAAGTAGCAGAGTACGAATCCGTGTTTGGCGTCTGCGTCACAACAGACCCAAACCAAGCATCTAGATGCTTCGCGCCCTCATGATGTCTTCTAATTTTTCGGCCGAAGAGCTCTCGAGCTGCTCTGCAGCTCGAGTTGAGTGGAGAAATTCACCATCATTTGAAAAAATGGTCGGTCATCTCAGTTTCCTTCCCATTGCTGTGCTGAACAGTTCTACAGCTTATCAGCAGTGTAGAAGCAAGGAAAACAATACCATTAGGGAGAAAGTAGCAGAGTACGAATCCGTGGTTGGCGTCTGCGCTCACAACAGACCTAAACCAAGCATCTAGATGCTTCGCGCCTCATGATGTCTTCTATTTTTTCGGCCGAAGAGCTCTCGAGCCGCTCTGCAGCTCGAGTTGAGTGGAGAAATTCACCATAATTTGGACAAAAAATGTTGGTCGAATACCAATAGTTTTGTGAACCTAGCTCGGGTATCAGATCGGGTTCAGACCTCTCGATGCAACAGACGAAGGCGGCTGATGCTTCTGGCGGTTTCTGCGCGTATCAGCTCAGTAGCTCTCCTGCAGCCCGAGTTCAATACAGAAAAAAACAATACCTGTCAAGCTGACTCGAATAATACGAATAGTTTCGCGGACCTAGTAGCAGACCCAGTTCAGACCTCTGGATGCAACAGACGAACCCGCACGATGATATCGAATCAGTTTCTGTGCGTATCCTACAGCAAGAGTTACGTCCGATAATCGACAGCACCTCGCAAGATGACTCGAACGATACGAATAGTTTCGCAGATCTAGCTCGAGTAGCAGACCGATTTCAGACCTCTCGATGCGACAGACGAACGCGCCTGACGGGCGCTGGCGGTAAACCGTCAACCTGGTCACCGCCGGGAACCTCGTAGAGCTCCTTGCATCTGTAAGAAAGCTTAAGATCGAAGGGGAGAACTTCTGGGAGCTTTTCTTGAGAAACGTCAAATTGAGATTTTTCGGAGTGAACATCAAGTCGGTTCCGGGAAGTCAAATGGTAGTAAAACTCGCTCTAGAGAGCTCAGCTGCTGAGGGAACGGAGTATATATGCCCATGTTCGGCGTCAAAAATCTGCTTTCTCGAAATGAATTGTCAAATATCTTTCAAATCTTCGCAAAACCCACCCAAAGTTGTCACATTGCCCTTTCTGGTCGGGTCGGCCAACTAGCTCCAGCCCGCACCGGAATTCCTCTAGCTCGTCGATGACAAAGAGCTCTACGACGTACGCGTGCAGGCACGCGTGGACGCGTGCCCGAAGCTCCAGGACCCGCTACGAGATTTTACAGGCCGCTGCGAGGATCCTGGACCGGCGGAGATGGGCTGCTGGCGGGCACCACCACTGTCCGGCTTCTAATCTAAAACCCTCTAGCTCTCAGAGAGCTCTCCGGGAATATTCGACCCGGATAGCAACTGGGAGCCGGCGGTAAACCGTCAACCAGGTTACCGCCGGGACTCTCGTAGAGCTCTGAATAGACAAAGTCGGTTCCGAGATAACAGCAGAAAAACGCTTTTCAATGACAGCTTGAAAAATAAAGACATGTTGTTTTATGTCGTACAGAATGTTGGCTACCCCTAATCTTTTGATCGAAATAATGCAGCTAGGGCCCTAAGGATTGCAGCATCGAAACCGTCATTATTCACCCCATAGAATAAAATTCAACAAATTTGCAAAACATATTCTAAAATCTCTCGCCATCTTCGAAAAAACGACCCCAGGTCACCACAATGTCCGCCCGGGCCGGGTTGGCCGAGCTGCATCCCGCGCCGGAATTCCTCTGGCTCATCGATGCCGAAGAGCTCTACGAGGTAAGAGGCACTCACAAACAAGCACGCTTGGGGGCGCGTGAGCCACCCTGTAAAAGCGTGCGTGAAGCGCACTTGCAAGCGCGTGAGCGAGCTTGTCA